CTGTCCTTTTCCTAGCAGTACATGCAGGGGGGATGGTTCGAAGCGACATATTACTATACGTACCTTATTATAATTGGAACTCTGTCAAATAAACGATTCAGAATGAACTTAATATACCAAGTTTGATGTGTAGTTCTTTTATAGTCGACAATGAAAAGGACTGATTTTTAGGATATCATTTAATAATGCAACTTTTTCTGTATGTAAGCACGTAGATGTATATTTGAAGAAATACTATTTCAATAAAAAAAAATACAAATAAAAATGAACGGAAGCAGTAACAATATTTTCTTCAAATAAATCAGTCATACGGGAACTTCCAGCTAGGAACAGTTGAACGTGAAAGTATTGATGCGATTGATTTACGAATATAACAATCTTAAATAAAAAAAAGTTGAAAAATGAGACGAGGCATCTGCTGGGTTTGTCTCTATTCTAGAGTTCAGACTTTAAATATCGTATAAATCATAAACGGGTGCTTTTTCACCAGTTGTTAAAAATATACAAAAAATATGCATATGCAACTTTTCGTAATTCTTTCATGAAATCGATTCTTCAGTTTATTGAACTGTTCTATGAAAACATAGTTTTATACACGAATATGAAGTTGAAGCTATCGAGCACTTAGGCGTACGATGAAAAGGGCAAGTATCTAACCCGAATAATTCTGGCCTTGCGGTCATAAAAATTTGGAGCACGATTATCGTACTCAAGACTCATCAATCAACCAATCAAAATACTGAAATTAGTGTTTCGAGCACAAGTTTTGTACTCCGAGTACTGAGTAAAGTTTTATGACTGAGAGCGTCTAGTCTTCATATTCCGTTCACTACAATAACATTCCATTGGAAGCGGGTGATTGTTATTTGGGAGGGGGGATTTTTTGTTTTTCTTTTTTTTTTTTTTTTTCCTTTTTTTTTTTCTTTTAAAATTTTCCATTTTAAGTTGGTTATTTCTGATTAATATTTAAAAGCAAATAATATGGAAATGCAGTATTCGAATGTCAATCAATTACATTTATTTTTAAATTTCCAAATCATTCAATTAAACTGTTAGATATTCCAGACTTCATGCAGACCAACTAAACAGAAATAGTTCATTTTTAGATTTTTTTCTTTATTTACAATTAATCTTTTCAAAATATATCCAATATATAAAATAAGTTTTAAAGATTACATATATAACATGTTAATAAAACACTTTTCGTTAAAATGTTCTTAAAACATCCTACTATTTTAACTGCAGTCTTCCTTCCAACTATAATTGAAAATATTTGAAGACCGAGGATGTCCACATTTCTGCAATACAACTTCTGTCCTTTTTGCTATGCTTTCTGAAAATAATAATTTTTCGAAGAAAAAATAACCAAAGAATCACGAGTAGTAATTTGATAAATAAGCACGTGCAGGACGACATCAGAATTGATTAAGATGTGTTTTTGATTCATTCGCTCGACACTTAGATATGTCTGCCACGACACAAAGTGCTAAGAATACACTCTAGCCAATAAAATATTATTAGTAAAGTTATTATCGTAATAATGGTCCAGGAATCGACTTTTAAGAGCTTCTAAGATTAATTACGACAGCAACTTATAGCTCACATAAAACAGTTAATATCATTTCACGACCCAAAATATTTAAATGGATATTTGTCAGAGACTATTAAAGTTTGATGAATTGCACCGGAAATCAGGGATTTATCGCATTTAGAATTCCGGTATTAATTATCGAACCGTGAGCGATTTCAACTTGTGCATGCCGTACCTTACAACTGATGGGCCATTGCAAATAATGTTTAAAGAGACATGTAGATTTTGATTTACAAAGCTGCTCAAACAAAGGTTCTCACTTGAGAATGAAATATTTCTATAAAAATAAAGTTTGCCTTACGGTTTTTTTGCAGGTCTAAAAATGTTTGCTTCAAATTTATGCTTCAAACTACTGAAAGTATAATTTTTTTATTTATCGAAATTAAATGTTAAAAGTAAAATTAACGGGGTGGCAGCTTTTTTTGGACCGATATTGTCAGGAGTGTTTCAGTAGGTTTAGAGTATACTTCAATGGATATCATACCCTCCGTTAGAGAGCAACAGAAGACATCCACTCAATCTGGGCTATTGGTTCTTGGCTTTGTGTATACCGAATATATGACGAGAATAAACATGTTTACATGTGAATAGTGTTGTATCAAGTTACAAACTGCGAACTGTTTTAAATATCAAACCACAGTTTTTTTCATTGGTGTAAAAAGCAAACCACAGATTGTCCATTGATGTTTAAAAAAACCTGCATATTGTGTATTGAAGTAAATATCAATTATATACCATCTGTATACCTAAAATCAATAATTAACGCAGATGTACTGTTTGTAGGTTATTCCTTTTTTGTATGACAGGTGTAAAAAGAGTTTAAAATAAATTGAACAGAAAACATCAAAGATCTGACATCACAAAATTCTCAATAAAGTAAAGACAATTCCTGACAAAGTTTCAAACATGAATTGGTCGGCTTATATAGACAAATTGTAGATAAGGTGTGCTTGCCAATGAGACGTCTGACCACCAAAGACCAACGGACAATGATGTAAATGTCTTGTTCAAATGTGAAGTATCTGAATAGAAAGAGTTGTTGAGTATACTCGTCAACATACGTGGTTTACAACACAAGATAGGTGTCTAAGGCTTGGGAATAGAAATTACAGCGACTTTTAAAAATCTGCATCAACACCAAATTCCCTAAACGAAAAAACAAATAAAAAACCTAAAACATTGCTGGGGACAAGGTATCTGACTTATTCGGGTACATGAACATGTTGCGGGAATAAACAAATATATTTATGCAGTAATTTTTCTCTAGCCACATGATACGCTGCAGATAAGACAAACCGATTAAAACCGTAGAAGTATACTTTCCTTAAATTGTATTGCAATATTCACTTTTGTACTTAGTGTCTAATTCAATAAATGTTAAAATCTTTTCAAGAAAAGTCAATTAAAGCGAATGAACTACATTAAACGATGGTTTGATTTTAAATAAGGCGATGTTTTGTAATATCTTCAGGTACTCTGGAAAATTAATATTAACTTCATTCATTCAACAATCTTTTCGATGCTTATACTAAATTCGTTTGAAATGGTTTATTACTCTAATTTGAGATTTCTAGACTTTTGTCCTATAGTTTATACATATATATAAAGGCTGTGTAGAAAGAAAGTATTGCTTTATACTTTCAATGGACTTTATTAAGGTCCCATCTTTTTGAAAATCATTTTTTCTATACGATATGATTTTTGCTCATTGACGAAATCCGTGCAGTCACTTACAATTATTTACATATTCTTATTTTATAATGTTCTCAGTTACGTAAAACTTGCCACAACAGTCTTTTTACTGAAATTTTAAAAATCGTATGCTCATCCAACAACCAATCCTTTTTGTCGAAAATCGAAGATCCGCTCTGCCAATGTTGAACACCAAGTAATAGAGTATAGAGTATAGAATGTAAATTCTAAATAGTCAAGGAGGACTGGAGATCGCAAGCAAGCAAGCACAGGTCTTGGCTATCACAATTCTACCCAATATATTAGTCTGGCTTAAAATACGACCTTTTTTCCAAGTTATTTTAACTCTGTAGATATTATGTAACGTAGACAGCAGGGTATAAGTATTTTCCCAAGTTATTTTAACTCGGTAGATACTATGTAACGTAGACAGCAGGGTAAAAGTATTTTCCCAAGTTATTTTAACTCGGTAGATATTATGTAACGTAGACAGCAGGGTAAAAGTATTTTCCCAAGTTATTTTAACTCGGTAGATATTATGTAACGTAGACAGCAGGGTAAAAGTATTTTCCCAAGTTATTTTAACTCGGTAGATATTATGTAACGTAGACAGCAGGGTAAAAGTATTTTCCCAAGTTATTTTAACTCGGTAGATACTATGTAACGTAGACAGCAGGGTAAAAGTATTTTCCCAAGTTATTTTAACTCGGTAGATATTATGTAACGTAGACAGCAGGGTAAAAGTATTTTCCCAAGTTATCTTAACTCGGTAGATACTATGTAACGTAGACAGCAGGGTAAAAGTATTTTCCAAGTTATTTTAACTCGGTAGATATTATGTAACGTAGACAGCAGGGTAAAAGTATGACATTTGTGTTTATGGTCATCCTGTTTGTGAGGTTTTTTTTTCTTGTTTTTTTTTTCTTTTACGACATATGGCAGGTATAGGTTTGTGCGCACATGAAACTGGTTTATCCATTCTACATTTCGTGCCCGTACCAGTTCCCGCCAAACACGAGAAAGGTGGAAGTGCAGCTTTCGGTAGATTTCTACACATACAGGCGATGTAAGAAACAAAGCAGTGCATACTTTACAGTCACTCCCTCTCGTTACAGGTATGCCAGTGTACAAATTTAAGGATGTTCAAACCCCAAGAGATCTTTTTTGTGTATTTGTTTTTGTAACACTAAGATGGCTTTTGTCAAAGTTGAACACCTAGTGATTATCATATTTAAAGAAAGTTAAATATCCTTTTCTTTTCTGAAACTACTAGACAAAGATTGATTGCATTGAATGGAAGGATTTTAACAAAGATTTGTCTACTCCTCCATCTTGAAAACCCTCATCCAGCTGAAAACATTTTACTCTATCATACTATAAAAAGGGAAAGCAAGAAGTTCCCGGGCGCAATAGATTAATGTACGGAGTTTGCAATAAGATGGGACCCGGAGAAACGGATTATCATGGAACTTCGGTATGGATGCAAAATACGAGATTCCAAGGGAGTTTATAATAAAACCATTCACAAAGAAATAACACGAACGAACTAAAACCTAGGCAAGGACTGGAGTTTTCCCGTATTGTAAATATATCCTTGGTCCATAAAAATGTAATAGCCAATATAATACTGCAACAGTTCTCCGTACGTACCAATTCTAGTTAAGGGAAACCTACATTCATATTTATGCATAGGCAATTATTTCAGACACAGAACACATTTTTTCTATAGTCAATTGTTTATTACAGTTTTACACAGTAGAAAACAATTATTTAAACAATGATCCTACTGAGTAAATTACAAATATCGTTTTAAACAAGATATACACAAAACCTCATGGCACAGATATAAACAGAAATATATATCGGAAATGTGAAAATATTCTAAGAGTTTTTATGTTCTCCAAAATGTACACAAATATTTGCTTTATTCCACTGTTAGCCCTAAACAGCTTTCCTATGGACAAACTGTGAATATTGCAAAACAATATATCTTTACAACAAAGAAGACAATAGTGTAAGTGTCATTAGTGATGGTAAAAATGATATTTGGTAAAAACATAATGTATATAACACTTCTTTATCTCTTTAAGTGTATTTTCTCAATTTGGTTTAAATGGAAATTTTCACCTGCTTGCGTTTTTATCACTTCTCGTGTATTATATCTATCTAAATATCCGCTATTACCATTTATTGCATTAAATAATTAATAAATAAATACCGAAATTATATGGCAATAAATTACAGGACGCAAATGTATGCAGATATATTTTCTGCTTATTTGACTGTCATTGATAAAGAATTTTACAATACCTTTAGCACATACATTGAACGACAAACATATTAATAGCACTACAATTCATTTGTAAGAGTCATCTCAAAAGATGTACCCTTTACATCACAAAAATGATAACCTCTACTATGTCGGCAAGATCGCTAAAAGTTGCACCATTATTTTTTATATCAATCTTAACTAAATGTTTTACAACTATTGTAGTCAAATACTTTATACTCTTGTATTTTTAAGTTCAATTCCGTAAATTACAAATAAAAGGGAATTTGTGAACAGAAAAATAAACCACAAAATCTTGAGTAATTTCGACTCAAATTTCACTGTTATATTCCTTAGCAATACGAAAGAAGTCATTTGAATCTATGGATATATACAGAAATAAAATGTTACGGTAATATTTATGGAAAGTTGAGATTTCACCGGAATCCTGATAAGGTAACAGTGTGTTCTAATGCTTTCCGACGTAATGACGCTATACTTGATCCTCGCCAAGCCTCTCCTATCTCTTGCATTCCACACGTCATCTGTGTATTTGACATCGCCGGTGGCGAGTTTGAATTTGACTGTAGGGGAGAAGAACAACTCGCAACTTGGACTCCATAGTTGGAATTATAAATAGAACTTGCATTAGGCATGAGGTTATTACCAAGTGACACATTAACAGCATCAGCCAGGCCTGCTATTGATACTTGTGATCCAAATCCTTGTCCAAGTCCTTGTCTCTGTAAGGATGACGGAAAAGTAAGGGGATTTCCGTTGATAGATCCTCCTAAATTTGTCATTCCGGACATACTTGACATTCCAGACCAGCGAGTATCTGATGGATGAAAACCACAAAGACCATCATTCATAGAACCAAAGTGAGGTAATCCGGGTGATGGTAGTAGAGCCCCAGGTGTTCGGAACACGTTTGTGGTCTTCTTCCTCTTCTTCCATTTAGCTCTTCGGTTTTGAAACCAAACCTGAAAAGATCATAGATTTAATGTGTGATGTTTTTTACGTCTATATCGTACATGTACTAACTTGACAACCAATGAGTTTCCAGTTAAAATTAATATTAAATTAAATAAAGTGTATCTCTATTACATATGTATAAAATTTGAAAATACAATTTATTACTCCTTTTTGCAAGATTTCTTTATATAAACTTTATTCAAAAACCTAAAAGCAAGTCACCTGCTAACGACACAGGGGTACACACAATAAATCTTATTAATACTGCTTTACTTGCATAAAAATAATAGTACATAGTAAATAGTCTTCATTCATAATTATCTATAATTCTAATATTCGCCATATCATTTTGCTCTATTATAAACAAAATAGTGATCGAAAGAGGTCAAGAAAGTATTTAAAAATCCATACTAGGGTGAGCTTCTATTAATTCAAATACAAGACCAACGAAAATAAGAAACTGGCGACATGAGGTTGATTCATTTGGTCAAACGTTTAACCATTTTTTTAATTCTATGCGCGTAGCATTAATCTACCTTAACATCATAAAAACACATTTACATTGACTGGCCATACCTAAAAACTCATGTATAGGTGTAAATAATTATAAAAACCTTTGTAACATAAACCAATAAATTGTCTTCCTACGCAATGCAGTCTAACTATCTGGAACCGTTTCACAGACGTCACATAATCTTACTATTATTGGAATCTTTAATGTGCTAATGACACCCTCGTTCTTTGGCAAAAACACCTAAACCCAAAACAAAACAAAACAAAAAACGCACGGAAGCATCTAGATAATGTAACTTCCATGTGTTTTTTTTTTGTTTTATTTTGTTTTGGGGTTGGGTGTTTTAAATTTTATCCTTTCCGGTTGTTACCGATCCATGCAGTGACGCCATATTGTTTTATAAACATCATTTATGACCTTTGCTTCAATTCGTGTCAAGATGTAGTTTCGGACAGACATAAAGTTGTCTAAAATTGATAACAATGGAGACACGTTATGATTCTGTCTCCATGGTATTGTTTTTCTTTCCAATCTGCACATGGTCTTAAAACACGCAAAAGAATTCTAATTAGACTCATATAGAGTGAATGATGACGCTTAAGACGGTTGCGATTTTGGCTGACATTTGGGACGTTTATCCTTCACTATTGTAAATTTATGCAAATTTTCGTTCCCGTTTGGAATTTCCTGCTTCCATTATTCATGTTGTTATATTTTTTCGGGTAATCCATTTCATGTATTTTTCCAACTCGCCATTCTTTTATAGCTTATGTATGCATGCATGCATACTTTAAATCGTAAAATTCTTAAAACAGAAACATTATAGTATCTCCTATTTTAACATACAAAATTACAGTGTGTTACGATGCTGATAATAGACGTTTTTCCTTTATAATTAATTAAAAAAAAACATTTTTTGGTAAATAAAATTGAGAATGGAAATGGGGAATGTGTCAAAGAGACAACAACCCGTACATTTTTGTGTGTGTACATAATTCATCAGGTTCCGCTGCTGTTTGACAATTGGCCCTTAAGGGAACATTTTGTCCAGTAAACAGTGCTTAAGTATTCGCTGTAAATCTTAAGTTCATAAAATTGTGTAATTTCATAATTCTAAGATTGCAAGTTCATCACGCGAATTTTATTATTGTTTTCCATGTTCTGTTTTGATCATTGTGAATTTTATGGTCTTTATTTTGTCTTCCGGGCGTAGCTGATGACGGTAAAACCAAAAACAGCTGTTGTGTATACGCCGGAAAATATATCATACGATTTATTTTAATATAGATCACAATCAGATTATTTGAGAACTGAAATAACGATTGATTGTTGGTTGCTTTACTAAAATTACGTCAACTTAACCTCTTTCTCCTTTTTAATATCAAATGAAGAAGGAAAAAAAATAGCGAATTTCTGCGACAAGGCTTACAATAAAATAGTTTTAGTGTGAACTTTCGTTTTGCTTTGTTTTATCATTTAGCTCTATCTGTACTACTAGTAATATACTTCTTACTCTTCGTGTTCTAAATGAGTGTAACCCATCAAGTTACTTCGAACGAATCAAAGCCGGTATTTTAGAACATTGAATTGTATAAAATGTTATCTTCATAACTAACGGTGAGTTCGGTTTATTTTTATCCGTAAACCTACGCATTTAAGGAACACAAAAATTATTTGACCAATGTCGGCATTTAAAAAGACTATCGTTTTCTGTAACATTTTCCTGAATGTGGCCATGTTTGTTTTTGTCCATTCCATTAGTTAATAGATGGTCAATAAACGGCTTTTAATATTGGTTAGTAAGTGTTGAAATCAAAAATCAAATATAACATACCTACAATAGATTTAAATGCTAATACAATTAATTGTAATGTGTGTAAATAGTCAATATCAATACCAAGCTTTGAAGTTTAAGGTCTCATTGAGATAAATGTCATCAATTTTTGCTAAAAGTTGGACACGATCCCTGAAAGCGAGAATTTCCAAAATAAAAAAGGTTACAAAATTATCTTCTTGTTATTCATAAAACTCTTTGAATTCCATTGTTATAGATAACCAATTATTTTTCCTTCGTTTTTGTTTTAAAAATATGTAAGTTTAATCGCTGAGTTCTCGTGTCATTTCATTCAAACATGTAAAGTCATCAATTTCTGTACAGTGCGACCATCGAGGGACAAGCGCTGACGTACCCGCATTGCATTTTTCACTGACAATCGAATATACTCGCACGCAATGCTACAACCTAGAGGATTCCAGCTAATATTTCAGTCCACACGCGGATGAAATTGGAGATCCTCGTGTGTATTTCGTTATGGGAAGAAGCTGAGAAAAGTTAATAGTGTAATTATCTGGGTGTCAAATGTAAATGAAGTCCGCTTCTTTTAAGGATATAATATAATCTGTATGTTAATTATGGTGTCTAATTTGCGTGTGACGGTTATATATCAAAACCCTATTTAGACAAACAGGAGACAAATGATAGTGCTATACAAATCAATTTTAACAGGTGTGTTATAATTAAATAATGTTATTATATTCATTACAAATAAAAGATATCGGTCAAAATTATTCTAGATCATGAAAATACGCCGAAAAAAATAAATATCCATCTTATTTATTAGACTGTTCCCTGAGGTATATTTTAAAGAAGTCGGGTTTGTCTCAGACCAATTTTCAAGACTGTTTCCATACATATAACGAAACTAAATGTCATCATCGGCATAAACAAATAAGTATATATACTTCTTGAAATTTCCGGCTGGAATATCATCTGACAAGCCTTAAAATAATTCTTTTGAACCAATGGTTCGAGTTACGGTAGATATTTTTAATCTATTTTATATGGATAATGCACTTATAAAACCTTTTATAAGGTCCGAATCGGTTAATGTCAAATAAACTGAAACGGACAAAGTCTCGAGCATAATAATAGATACTGTTGGCATGTTTAAATATTGATGTACTTTTATTTGTGGTCATTTTTGTTTAAAACGATACGAAATGTGTCGGTATACTTCAAAGAAATGTTTTCTATATTGTTTAACTGAAATAAACAAGGCTTTAGTCCAAAAATATTCACAATAAAGTGCAATAGACAGACAGTACATAATGATTTTTTTTTTCAAAACGTCGAAGTATTTAAAATAGTATATTTGCTTAAATATATTTCATTGTAAAAACTACTCGAGCCAAAGATAACAGGACACAGGGTACGAACCACTCATGTACTTAGGCTATCAAACTTCTGATTTTAAAGGATTTGGTTTACTAGAGTCTCTTGTTTAAAACGCTAAACGTTATTGTGCGTATTAAATGTCTCTAATTAAAATTGAAATATAGCAGTTATAGTTTAATAATAAATTTCCACAATGAATAATCAATAAAAAAATAAATAGGAAAAGTCAAGTTGAACTGGAACTAATAGATAAATGTATTACTCCCATAGTTGAATCATCAATTTAATGCTAGATTTATTTGCAGCAAGTTTGTAATGTAATTGTCTAAAAAGCATAAGTTGATAAATATTATACAACCGTTTCGTCATTTTCATTAGAAATTATTATTTGTAACGTAAAAGATGGCTGTTTAGTTCACACTTTTATGTTATAGTATACATGTATTATATTTTTACTATATTTTTATGTTATGTGTATTATATTTTTTGTTTTATTTTGTGTTCCTTTAAACAAAAAAGAAATTAATTTGATATCTTTGCCCTGTTTATCGTATTTTGTTATATCTTTCTTTTTTCATATATTTTTATGTTATTCACACGGCACGTAATGAATTATAATTCATATAGTATTTAGTACCATAACACCTTAATATTTGATCCTATCAAGTTAACTGAATAGATAAATATCATATATTGAAACAAAAACGCATTCATCAAGTTTATCAAAATAAATAAAATCTGATCGGAACATTTTTATTTGGTAAAATTTCCCTCCTATGCAAATACTCTCCAAAATTTGAAACCAATGTTTCTAACTCTGACACATATTAAATAGTTCGCCGCTAACAAAAATAACAGAATAAAAGACTAAATTCTTTTGATCAGATCATAAAAACAATGTTTATCATAAAAAAAAAAGTTCCTGTTCAAAATTTTGTGATCTAAAAAGACCATTCCGCTTACTATTAAAATTTACTGCAATTAATTAAGATTAGACTATAAAAAGTAAAGTTTTTAAATAACTTATATGGAACTTTGGACTTGTTTAACAACGTATGAAATTATTTTATTCAAATTAATGCACGAAAAAATTGGAAAAAAACCGTTACTTTTCCAGTTCTTACTTTCTTCAAAAAGATTTTAAAGCTCCATCAAAATGGGATTCATAGTATTACATATGTTTTATCATAATATTTATGCATTAATATATGAATGAACATACAGATATGCCCAAATTCCTCAAATGGTGTTAATGGAATTTGGAAATTAAAAAATAAATCTGTTTCTGAAATTAAAAAAATAAAACTGGATAAAATATAATTATTGATTTAAGGTGACATACCTGGACTCGTGATTCTGTTAAACCAATTCTCAAAGCTAGTTCTTCTCTCATGAAAATATCAGGATAGTGTGTTTTAGCAAAGTTTCTCTCCAGTTCATTCAGCTGGGCCGGTGTAAATCTTGTCCTATGACGTTTCTGTTTTGATCTCTCACTGTCTATTTCTGAACCACTGTCGGGCTCTTTGGAGGATCCGCTGTCACTATCCCCTCTGTTCAACATCTGAGAATTAGTCATTGTGGGCTTCAAGTCTGGAAAAGAAGGCGTGAAGCTTACTTTTAAAAGTTCGGATCCAACAAAATATTAAAATCCAAATACTGCCTCGAAAACAAGGAAATGTTGAACTCAGAAAAGTCATAAGATTCCGTCACATCTTTTTTCACGGTTTAAACGAAAGTTGAATAATCCGTCTTAAAAAATATGTTTAAAATTATAAATAGTTTTTTTTTACTATTATTTTGTAATTCTAACAGAAGTGAACAAAGTTAAAAAATATATATATGCAAATCACAGTATGTTCAAGCTGTCTTCTGTGTGCAAAAACTTTACATATTTAATGCATTTTTATGATGAAAAGCCCAATTTAGCTATTGAAAATATCATGACTATAAAATATGTCCATATTTATTTTTTTGCAATTCTATAACGTGCGCGTTTAAAATCTAAATTAAACACTGCATTTTATATAATTTAATATTTTAATTTTGATTACATTAAAGGTATAAGTATGCATATAACGGTAAATTAAACAAAGTGTAAATTAATATAAAATTCAATTCATATCAACATAACGTACATAAATACACGAATTCGTACTGTTTTGCAATTTTCAAACATTTTCAGCAATTATTCATACCGAAATCTGTCTAATCAATGATAAATAATGATAAAACTGTTTTGGTATGTTGATATGGTTTGGCTATCACAGTTTTCATTCAAAAGCAAACTAGCAAGGGTATTTTATTCTATTTCAATATTTAATATCAAAATAAAACTGTCAAAAAACTTTACTTACTATAACATGACTACTTTTGTTAATTATATTTCTTTGCAGAAAAAATACTTACTGTAGAATAAATCAAAGAACGGAACTCAAATAAATGGAAAGAAAAAATTAAAAAATCTTTAAAAAAATAATCTTTTTGGATGGTTGGCAATGAGAATATAGTAAATTATATAGTAGTGCCGCTGTTTGTCCTCAAAAACAATGTGTAAATTTACTCCACTGGAAATTAACAAGACATAGATCATGATTGAAAATCAATATAGTCACTAACGAGTAATAATTAATTATATTAGTTAGCTAAATCAGAATAATATATTGGCACAGCGCGCCTGAAATTTAATCAAATTTGGATGATTTAGTTCTAAACAATCTGGAAGAGAGAGCCAAAGATTTAATTTTCTTGCAAATAAATTGAATAAAAGCTGAACCAACCGCCTTACTGGGTCTAATTCTCCAATTAAACCTTTGATGTTTCACTGGTCACTTGCTATTGTACAGAAATATTAACCTGAAACCCGATTCCTATCAATAAATAAAAGAAAAAAGAGAAACTTACCTGTTTTTGGTGGCTTGGCAAGTGGCTCTTGAAAATATAAAGAGGAGTTGTTAACACCATCCATATCAGTCGAATCAAGAAATACGAGTTGCGCTTGATTTTTGGTTCCAATTGCTTTTTAACACTCTCTGTCAAGTGTCTTGAATGTGGCAAAACTCGTCATTTGATTGGCTAAGACCTTTCTTTGAAAATGAGTGGACAACGCTATCAGTTTCACGCTGGTTTTCCAATACTGTGAAAATTCTGTCGTTTTAAGGTAAATAACGACTTTATATTGCATTAAAGGAACAATATTTTCATATGAAATGAAATATGACAAGAAAAACTTACAGTTTTGTATACATGTGTTTGTTCAAGTACACAATAAATGTTGACAATAATACCAAACCGAGAAATGTCCTTTCAATTTCGTCCAATATCAATAGTAATGAACTATTGGAAAGTCAATCGACTTCTCTTAATGAAGATAAATATCCATAATTATTGTTAAGTATATGTTAATGCGACCTTTTTTTATATTAAGATGCGTGCTAATGATACTCGATATGCATAACATTTTAAACTAAAACACCTTACTCCAAAAGAATTCGTTTTGTCCTCTCTTTAGGATTTGTTCTAGATATTCTTTTAAAATCCTACAGTGTTATAGGATAGTTTAAAAAATTCTTATTTCAATAAATGTACGTATATTTATAATTCTAGAAATTAAGACTCGTACAACATTTCATGTACAATAAAGAATCTGTTAAATAAAGGAATACAAACTTTAAACTATATCTTAGAATTTATGCATTAGGAAAAGAATAGATGCTTTGTATTAAATTTATTTTCAACTGTAAAATTTCATCTTTAACATGTTGCCAAAATGTATTCTCGAATTCAATGCAATCATTTTAGATAAATGATTAGTATATATAGGAAATTGTAAAGGGATAATTGCAAAATTAAAGCAGCTTTGGAGTAAAATTATTGTATTGTTTGAAACAAATATTTATATTGTACTATAAGAATCCTGGTTTGAAAGCAAATATATTTTTATGTTCTTCATTTTTCAAGAACGGATGCATCTAAAATAAATATATTTAATCAAAAACAATGATTGTTTTATGGAAAAGATTTATTAAATCAAAATTTTCACATTTAATCCTTTTCAAAAATTATTGTTCATGTGATTTTTTAAGAAGAAAAAACTATCAATGTCGGTAAGGGTTTGGTTTCAAACCAGGGATTATAAATCTATTTAATTAAAACTGACAGTATTAATTATTAGAGTAATAAGGTGGAACTTTGTTAAATTTAATGCACAAATACTTCATTAAAGTGAATACACTGATATCATAATTTTTACAATAACATAAAATCGTTAAGCTGACGAGGTGAATGACAAGTTTTTCTCACTATTTTGTCGCGTGCGGCACCTTGCTTTTCGACAGGTGTTAATATCAAGCGGTTTTATGATTGTTAAAGAAAGAGATTAGATCGATAAGAATGTAACTCTCACCGCACATTTTATGATGGTATACAACAGTTTTGATGGACTAATAAAAGTATATTATTGGCATGCCGTACAAACTATTGTGGCATCCGTGTTTCTCTCGCCATTGTGCGAGAAATGTTCAAAGACACAGGTGCGCGTGTCACTATTGTGTTACATCTGTTTTCGGTTTTTCAAAAATTCCGAAGAAGAGAATTATGTAAAAGAAGAAACTTGAGAAATACAATTTTTCTCTCTCACCTGCTTGTAACAGACAGATTAAAAAAATAAACACTATGTATGTGAGTTGAAATATGACAACAAATATTATTATTATTATTATTATTATCAGAGACATATAATACATAATATTGTTTTATATGTCTCTGTTATTATTATTATTATTATTTATTCTTATTCTTATTCTTATTATTATTATTATTTATTCTTATTATTATTCTTATTCTTATTCTCATTTCTCAACAACAATAATAATTATAATAATACAAATTAGAAGTTAGAATAATGATAAAAATGAAATTACAAAGGAATAGAATATAATTTTGTTATTCCTGCTTTCATAATTCTTAAAAGAAAATATGAATTCAGAATAATATGAAAAAAGGATAAAAAAGAGTATGTTAAATAATATAATAACTACTTTATAGGCTCAAATTATGATATATTTCTGAGAAAATATTCGATTAATATGTCGCTTGGGTCATGGCGGCCCTGACGACTCGTGGATGGTCTATGGGGTTTTTTTTGTAGGGAAAGGGCTAGGTCAAGTAGTATTGTCGCTAAAAGTTACAAGCATAAGGAGGTAATACAAGGGTGCTCATTTTTCAAAAATCCCGCTTTTTTTGTAATTTTCCCCACTTCCCACTTGTTTGCCTTCTTTTCCCCCAGATCCGTCTTTTTCAGTTTACCCCTATATCCCACATCCCCACTTTTTTACCCCGTGTATTCAACACCCTAAAAGTGTGTCACCCCCTCAAGCATGTAAACACATCGCGTAAATACATTTTTTGGTAAATTCGACAATAAATGCTCAGGATGGGGTAACAATTAGACCCCAAAAAAAAAATTTTCTTCCGAGAATTACAGTGTGCCATTTTTAATAATTAATCATCACAAAATGCCTAAAACAAACGATTTATTTGTTACAATGAGGTCCTGCGTCATTAATTTGTTATTTTCTTATTTAATAAGGTTATTATACGTGAATGTGAAAAGTGTCTTACCCTAAAAACAATTCAATTCACAAACAGAACTATTATCAGATCAGTTTTCTTTGTAGAAAAATTAAGAATAAACCTAGAAATATAAAAACGAAATCCTTCTATTGTTAACAAATGTAGTGATCAGACGCACAACGTGTATCAGAGAAAGAATGAAGGAAACAATTTCTAACACGAATACAATAGCAAACAGAAAAAAAGTCTAATTCAGTCTTACATCAACTTATTAATTATTTAGCGAAGGTAGCTTTAAAGTAGAGAACTCGTTAACACTTGGGTTCCCTCAACAAAATATAACTAAACTTACATCTGTGGGAAAGAAAACTATATACTTCTCAAAAAACTTCCACTTGGAAAAGCAAAAATTGAAATGAGAACATCCTCACTATGTATGATACCAACGACAAACACTAGACAGCAATATCAGCCTTTAATTACCTTAGTATTAATTTATTTAATTTATTTATCATAACAAGACTAAATAAAGCGGTATAATTATATCAGGCTTGTTCATTGTATGTGACATTCATGCTTAAGGAAGAAAAAAACACAACAGATAGTGTAATTTCAGGAGCGAAGGCAAGGATCTCCAATTTCTTCGTTTCCCACTGTGTCTTAACATCAGCAATGAATGGCTGTTAAATATTTTATTTCTTTCATTAGATTCTCTGTGTGTTGATGACAAAATCTCCCGCCATTTTCATTATAAGATTGATATCCGGATTGGTGAGTCCGTACAATCACTTTCCCAAGAAAAGGATAGCGATTACAACAGGGGGTCGACGTACTGAACAAATATATTATACTAAAATTCCGTTTTCTTATAAACCCCCAATGAGTGAAAACGATGATTAAATAAAACACACGGCAGTACATGTTTTATGTGACTGCAAATTGGAGGGGCGTACAGTTAAATGGTTCATTAGTGAAACAAAATTGCTTAAATGAATAAAGATATTGGACTTAAATTTACTTTTTACGACCAAAATGATCCACTGATTGCATACTTAAGCTTAGATAAAGTATCCTATAGTATCTTTCCTATACTTTGGAATCAACTGTGATTATACATGAACATGATGAAAGACTAATTATAGTTTTCTAAAAAAATCAACATTGCTAATATAAACCCTGTATACCAACAAGTTATTATTTTTGTCCACCTTTTAATACAAAGTTTATCTTAGTTTTCGAATAAAAAAAACTTTAATAATTTATAGTTTATTATTTACATTTACTAATTTTCTAGCAAAAAGCGGATGAACTATACGTTATTAACTAGCATTTACATCGAGAAATCACAAAAATATCACAAAGCGTAATTTAGACTAAATAAAAACCGTGAGTAATTTACATTCCACATTTATACATATATATATATATATATATATATAATCCGCAAATTTTTCGTGATCTGAAAATATTATTGGTTATTCATGATAGTTCTATGATCTGCCGAGATCCAATAACTTTATTAAGATAAAGTACTCCGTTTACCAACTGGAAACATTCTGAAGGTAAGTGTATTATAAGAGTAATGGATTTAACCGATTTAAAAAGATATATTTCATATTCTATAGTAAAGAAACTTTTCTTACAAATGTGTAATGTGACACTAATTAGATCCATTAGCACGTACAATCTAGGAGGTTATGTTAGATATAACCTCTTTGGTACACATTTTGTATAGTACCAGAGTATGGTCACGTATACGATGGAATTATTATATATATTCTTTTCTTATTTTTGTCGGTAGTTTTTTCCGAAATTTCTTTTTTGGTTTCTTGTTGGAAATTAAGTACTTTGAAATTATCTAGAGCTTTGGAAATTATCTTAAACGTCTCAGAAATAAATCATGAGATTTCTGGTCTCGAAAATTTTTATTCTAAATTTACTTGAGAAGTAATCAACACAGAATGCAATATTTATCAGCAAACTGGAACGATGTATAGTTGGCTACCAAAAAGAAAAAAAGGCGGAGATGAAAAATGATTTAAAGCAGAATAAATAGGGACACGGAAAGATTTTTAAATTGTTTCCCATTTCTAATCTCTATAGACCCATTGATCAACAGAATTTAAAAATATGGTAATACCTGGATTTCTCTCATCCGGCATTCAGCTCATACTAAAAAGGGGCGTCCGTTTGGCTGAGTAGGATGTATAAATACACAGTCACGTCTTACCAGAAAGGGACGTTTTATCTGATGCCTTATGGAAATGGATGGATGCTAAATACCCTTGAAACAATTCTTTGATTATTGTTGCTCAATGTTTATTTCTGTGTAGTGTATTGTGGATTGCAGTTTGCCTTTTAATCGGTTTTCTTTAAGCTATAGTGTTGTCTTTTTTTGAATTCCGCTT